GTGGCCATGGCTTAGAAATGGATTACCAAGAAGACTTACATAAAAATAAGAAGTAAAAACTATACCAAAACAATGGTCACTAAGAAAAACACTTTAAGAAATACTTAACAAGCCAAGTATCCCTGGCTCATGCCTTTAATCCAGTTAGTTACTCAGGAGGCTGAGGTCTGAGGATTGTGGTTCAAAGCCACAATGGGCAGAGAAGTCTGTGAGAGTTTATCTCCAATTAATGAAAGAAAGAGAGAAAGAAAGAAAGAGAGAGAGAGAGAGAAAGAGAAAGAAAGAGAGAGAGAGAAAGAGAGAGAGAAAGAGAGAGGGAGAGAGGGAGGGAGGGAGGAAGGAAGGAAGGAAGGAAGGAAGGAAGGAAGGATAAAGAAAGAGATAAAGAAATTGAGAAAGAAAAATATACTACAAAAGTCAAAGAAAGAGGGAAAATAGGCAGGAGAAGTTGACCAATAGAGTAAAATGCACTCCCCCCCCCCCAATAATAAAACAGACAGAAATCCTTGCTGTCGGCAAGTAGAAGGTCATTATGGCCTTTGAGAGTAGACTCAAAGAAGGTATGGGCAAGAAAATGAAATCTCCATAGTCATTTCTTTCTATATGTAGAAGTTTGAACTGACTCTTGAAAACACCATTCACAAGTTATTGGTTCAAAATACTGCCATGGTCATAGCCATGTTTATGATTCTGTCTCTAGATAAACTCACCTTCTTCTCTGCCCATACATTTATAAAACATGATAAATGGCATTGATTTCAGAAAACGCCAAGAGATTACATATCTACCAAACTCTATTCAGCTGTCGCTTTTTTAAAAACAAATACAGATTTTTCAAATTCTCTATATAATATCCAGGATCTGGCAAGACTGGTCCCACATTCCTAGAGTGCCTTGTATACGGGATATGCATTTATCACAGTGCCCTGTGGACATCTTAGTGTCCTAACTACTCATTTCTAGTAACTTCCTGACCCTCTTAGCTCTAAGGCATCACAGTTAGAGATCCCGAGACCTCACCTTGATTTACAAAAGGAAATAGACCAGATCTTAGCATATTTGTCGTGTTGTGGTGGCATACAAAGGAACTAAATTCTGCCACTTGTGGCAACATAGATGGAATGACAGAACACAATGTTAAGTGAATAAGTCAGACACAAAAAGGTAATCACCACTTGTTTACACTCATATCTGGAAGCTAAAATATTGATCTATAGAAGTAGAGGCCATCTTGTTATGAGAGGCTAAGAAGGATTTGGGGGTGGGAAAAAGAAAGAGAATAGGTTTTTATATTTTCAGTTTTCCTCACTAGATGATGACCTTTAGAGGTATGGAGTATCTAATGGGTCCATGTCCATGGATATTCATATTACCCATAATCAAATAATTATGGATAATTATCAGCCAGCTGATTTTTGTCAAAGGTGCCAAAAAAACACACAGCGGAATTAAGACAGTCTCATTAACACATGAAACTGAAAAAGAAAAAAAAAGGATATCCACAAGTAAAAGACTGAAGACAGATTCCTGTATCTCATAGCATACAAAGAAAAATCAATTAAATGCTGGGAACTAGTGGCTCATGCTTGTAATGCTAGTGACTCAAAAGATTGAGGTCTGAGGCAAAAAGATCCATGGGACTCATCTCCAATTAAACAGAAAAAAAGCCAGAATTGGAACTATGATCCCAATGGTAAGAGAATGAGCCATGAGGAAAAAAAAAAACCAAGCAAGAATGCAAGGCTCTGATTCAAGCTCTAGTGCTGGCACAAAATAATCAATTAAAAATGATCAAAAGCCTTAATGTAAGATTTGAAAGTCTGAATCTACTGAAGACAAACAAAGGGATAAACTTGAGGATGCAGGCCAGGACTTTCTAAATCAGGCTCTAAAAGCTCAGGAAATAATACCAAGAGGGGGGGTGTTAAGAGAGGGTGGTATTAATCCAACAGAGGGTTTGTGTCCACAATATATAATAAGTAAATTTTTTAATATCCTGTTAAAAATGGCTGAGTAAACTGAATAGATAGTTCTCAAAAAAGGACCAATAAATCATCAATAAAAAAATTAAATTCCAGCCAGCTGCTGGTGGTTCACACCTCTAATCCTAGCTACTCAGGAGACTGAGATCTGAGGATTAATGTTCGAAGCACAAAAGTCTACTAAACTCATCTCTAATTAACCACACAAAGCTGGGAGTAGAGCTGTGGCTCAAGGAATAAAGTGCTAGCCTTGAGCACAAAAGCTCAAGGATAATGCACACACCCGAGTTCAAGACACAGGACCAGCAAAAATAAATATGTAAGTAAATTAATAAATAAATTCCATCTCATCCCGTTCAGAGTCTATCATGAAGACAATAACAAATGCTGACAAGAATAATTCTCTCAGAATAAATTAATGTAGTCACTGTGGAAATCAGTATGAAAGTTCCCCAAACTAAAAGCACAACTACCATGTTATCCTGCTATATCACTGTGGAGTCTATATCTGAAGGAATGTAAGTCAGCACACAATAGACATACCTGCACATCCATCCTCATATCAGCACTATTCAAAAGAGCCAAGCAATGGACTTAGTCTAAGTGTTCACTGACGAATATATCATGTGTATGTATGTATGTGTTTATGTATATGTAGTATATGCACATATGTATATACAC